ATCAAAAAATAATGAATAATACGAGCTTTATTGTAGTTTAAAGGCACAACCCAGGCAGAGGTCGTGTGAACGCTTCTCTTCGGTCTGTAGTATAGACCCCTAGAGGACAATCACAAATGTGGCGTTCTCGTGCACGGAACCGACAAGAGCGCTTGGGCCTTGCAAAGTAAGCTGCTAAGCTGCAGATTTTTCTCTTATCAGGCTGTTGTCTGGCGCTCTCTCATCTGTAGCGCTCTCTCGCCCATACTCTCCTCTCCGCGCTTAGTCTCTCATTCCCTTAGCACAGCCGATTAGGAAGGTGAGTGAGCCCTTAACCTAAGCGTTTTTGACGGATTCTTTTCCTTTTTTCTTTACTGCCGGCCCACTTCGCACCAATACATTCGCATTCGTGTGCAAGAGCCACACCAATGTGATCCTGGGGCATGCCTTTAAAGCCGTGGCGTATAAATGCATGAAACTATCAGAAGCAGTCCCTTTCTGATTTACATGGTCATCAAGCGAGGCTACTGCTCCTTCACTGCTATTATTTATTTACCAGATTAGTCCCCCGTCAACCGCCGGGACCTTCCTTTCCTGCGCAAGCTTTCTATCCTCCGCTATGGTCCCTTCCTCCTGTGACACCAACACCTCCTGGAAGTGACGCGTATGCAACACAATGGTGTTTCATACAGTAGAAGGGACACAATCATGATATGACGGTAGATTTTTCGCTTCTTCCCTCATCCTCCCTTCCTCTCTCCACTGCCCTCCAGCTGCCACTGCAGCACCATGTGGAATGAACGGAAGTGTGCTAAGCAGGTGTTTATATAGCCCTAAGAGTGTTATCACAACTATCCTGCTACAAAACATTGATATCTCAAATCCTGTAAGCTACCCGATTTGTTAGCGGTTTGTTTATCCCATGAGCTTCCTTCTCACTCACTTCATTTTGCGGACGGACACACATACATACACACACACACACACACACACACACACACATACATACACAAACCGACACACAAAGTTAGCGCTTTATATAATAGAAGGATTAACTATTTATATGGATTCAATGCTTATCTCCTGAGTCGCCTACCAGTTCCTTTCCTGCCCATTATCCGAAGTTGTACCTTAGAGAAGGTGTCTCTGCTGTGCTTGACTGACATGGCCTCCCCGAACGATGACGCACCTTCGCGCGGTGCTGAGCTTTTAAAAAAGCACATTCAGTGATTTTACCGGATTCGAGGATCCCGTTCCAGCACACGTCCCACTTCTATTTCGAACTAATAGGATTGCATGCGTTTTGTACGTCGACCGACTCGTTCTGCCTGCCTTGCGCTGCCCACTCGCTAGCTGCAGCACTACCCCCACTACATTCGTACTTTAGTCGATAGGGTTAGCATAACAAGTACTAAATCCGTCTTATGAGCATTTGTAGGTCTTTCGTAAGGGACTGCTTTGAGTTCAGTTTTCGATAATTCCACAGAAAGATTAAAAGGAGCGATCTCGTTTTCTGGAGAGTGCGGTTTTGATGACGTCCGTGATACCCATCGTTAAAAAAGTCGATGAAATCAAAATAGCGTTCCTACCGCCCTACCTGCCCAAACGCGCTGAACGTTTCAATGAGTCCGATAATAAACTCGCAGCAGCCGCCCCAAACCATCCAAGACCACTGCGTTTAGGGAGACATTGCGCCTCTCTATAAAAGCAACTAACAGTTGTACACCAGAGATGAGCGATCCGAACAGGCCGACCATGCCGAGATATTCCATTCGACTGTGCTGTTTCACAAGAAATTCCTCGGAAACGTTCGCAATTGCGTATAACATCGAACCGCCCAAGCATAGAAGATCGCCAACGACACGATGACTTCCTGAACAATCACATTCTGTGAATAATAAGGATAAGGATAAAGGATAAAGCATTTGCCGTTGATCAATCCCTTTTTGGGATGCGGCACGCATTCTACTTCCATTTGTACATTCGCAGTGGCGTTTGAATGCGATGTGGCCTATACAATGACTTGCGGGGGCCAGCCGATGTTCAAGTCAGTGTTTTTATCCTCCCAGACAAGTCTGGTACCAATTAACCGACCCCGGAGGGATGGAAGGCTTGGTTGGCCCGGGCGACTTGAACCTCTGACCGCTCGCTGTGTAAGCGTTGCCACCTTGCCACTACAGCCATCCGCTCTCTTCTGAATAATATGCGTATTACAATGAATCGGATAACCCACGTTCGCGTGCGAGGTGTTTTGGGTGGGACCTATTTATCGATGGCCCACCCTCACAAGACCGTTTTTCTCAAAGGTCTAGTCAGACATTACAGGAAAATAACGACGCTTAGCGTCAGTTGTTGCCAGTAGCTGTACGTGATGGCCTCAATGAAAGGCACGGGGAAGGCAATTTTGCCTAGCTTTGTCAAGGCTAGACACTATTAGTCGAAAAACGTTCAGTGAATCATGGGAGAGGGCGACGTGAGTCAAGATCTAAATTGATGAAGTAATTCCACTCAAATGTGAAAGTAGGTGGTGGGAAGTGGACCGCCAGTAGAGAAAAAAGGAAAAAAAATTGAAAAATACACAAAAATACGAGCCTTTTGCTCTACCTGCGGAAAAGTTCAAAGGCCGGCAGGGAGATGAGCGATAATGTGAGTAAGGACAGTGGTCCGAGTAGAAGAAGCATAGCGCAGATCAACAAGATATCAACCAGAGACGAAGCGGACGTGCCTGTGGAGCGTGCCAAACTCCTTAGCCCCCTAGCGTCTCTATCCCCGCGTTCAACTGCAGGACACGTGTCCTCTGCTTTGCAGTGTGCCCCTTGGTGGCTCGCACGCATCTCAGCTCTGGTAAGTCTTTTTGCGTGACGAATTTTGACTTTGAACAGATGTGGCACCCTTTCTCACAGGCAACCAGGCTTTTGTTTGTATGATCCTTTACTGTCAACAACATAACAAAGTCAATCACTCGTCCGACCAAGTCACTCATAGAGGGCGCGCTCAACCGTATTTTGGTACAATTACCAACGGGGAGAGGGGAGTGGTGGTACGCACCTATGATTTTGGGAATGGGTCGTATCGAGGAGCTACTCAAGGCCGATGATGCGGGATCCGTGTCGGAACTGCTCTGGTAGGAGACATCGTAAAATTCCTGAAAAGCACCAATGCTGGGGTTGACCCGGCCGAGGGATCATATTTTGGGAGGACTAAGGGTCGTATGTGACGATGTTTTTGAAAGTTATGTAAAGAAAAAACTTGTTGAGAATGCACATTTCGCTGCGGAAATCTAAGGAAATGGAGAAAATTTTGATAAATTTCGCCGGTTCGGATCAGAGGTGGAGGCGAGGTGGAGAGGTGGATATCCGAAATCGGTCACACACCACGATTGACGGTACAATGAAGTGGCAAACGAATAGGAACATGCAAAGATTTGTTTCCATAAGGTAAATCTGCACAACGCTAGCACAACGATGCGCTAAAAAACGTTACCCAACCAAAAAACTCTGTGGGTAACATGGCGGGGCAACTACAGGTCCACGTTCAGGAGTGGTCCTAGCCGATCAGGAAGACTGGCTGATTCCTTTTTTACAGCATATTCCTGTTGAAAACTCACATCCCCAATCAGCGGTTCCCCACTGTGAATTAAATCGTGATCTCGTAAAATTTTGGAGTCATCTCAAAAGACAAAACTTATTTACCTAACATCGCTTCGAAGGCCCTCATCATCCTCGCAAAGTCGTTTATAGTAGATGGGCCTTGTGGGGTTTTAAAAAGACTAACTAAAATATGAATTACCTCCTATACTTCCTTTCCCATCCAGAATATCGGCCCATATCAGACAAGCAATGCCTACCAAACAAATACAAACACCTAAAAATAGTATACTTTCCAATCCGATGGTACTAATCATATATCTGTGATGGGATATAATAATACTTGTAGTACATTATTTACTGGAGAATTCAAATCTTACCTATAATGTGTGAAATTAAATATCGAACCGAGAGAAATAACCACGACAGCAGCAATACCATCGGAATCGTCGAACAATCGAGTAGCTGAATCGAGTCCATACGTTATTTGGATCTCGGTGCGAGGTAAAACCACCAAAAGGGACGTGGCTTACCTGTACACTGGTGAGATTCGTGAACTGGTATGCGTACACAATCATGTAGTTCGCTTCGACGTCGATCAGTGCCAATACAAAGTATTGCAAACCTCGCCGCCTCATTACACCCAAGAGACCTTCGTCACCGGACTTGCACGATAACGCGGTGCAATACACGAAGCATAGTAAAAAATAATTCGTGAACGACTGAGCTGAAAATTGGAGAATGAACGGGAATGGATAAGATAAGTTTTGGTCCCAAATTTTCTCACCCTACACGCGATAATGTCAACCACCGGTGGCTGACGCGAGGGTGATCAGTTTGAAAAATGCCAGCCAGCGGTGCCTGGTATTTTACAACCACGTGAAATCGCGCTGGCCCACACGAGTGATTTTCGAAAAACATGCGTGATCGCGGAAGGATTAAGGACTCCGCTCGCGTAAGACCTCCTCTCTCGCGTATTCTCTCTCCACGCACCGCTTCGTCTCTCTGTCATTCCACGGCCGAGCTCACAAGAGCAATTTCAGTGTTTTCCATGACGCTTTTTTAATTTTCCCCAGTAACGATCCTCTAGGCTCTTTTGTCTTATTTCTAACAAAACAACACATCAACTTCGATCGTGCACGCGTGCCTTGAAGCCTGATCGTTACCGCTGGAATATCATCAAGATACATAGATGTAGGGCGGGTAGAAGAGGAGGCTTCGGCTGTCACTTTCATTGCGATTAAAACGTAAATAGTCCACCCTATAAAGCAATAAATCCCGAAAGGGCGGAAGTGGTGTAGTGACAAGTGGCGCGCTCACCACGCGAGCGGTCCGGGATCAAATCCTGGGTCGTGAGTCGCCCGGGCCAACCAAGCCTTCCATCCCTCCGGGTCGGTTAATTGGTACCAGACTTGTCTGGGAGGATAAAAACACTGACTTGACATCGGCTGGCCCCCGCAAGTCATTGTATAGGCCACATCGCATTCAAACGCCACTACGAATGTACAAATGGAAGTAGAATGCGTGCCGCATCCCAAAAAGGGATTGATCAACGGCAAATGCTTTATCCTTTATCCTTTTGCCAAAGAAATGATAAAGATACAAGAATCCAGTGAAACACGTAGCAAATATGTAGTAATTGTCCTGCTTTTCGGAGTTGATCGCGGCAAAGACGGAATGAAGACCTTTTCGAGGACTGAAACTCGCACTCACTGCTCAGATAAATCGGTAGCTCTCCCACGAAATGAATCCTGATTATGTCTCATTCATATAGTACGCATTTGTAGGACTTATGACGCCATTTACGCATGTTGTGACGAGGTAGCGGCAACCAGTGCGAACCAACGTGTATTCGGATCCCTTCAAAACTGATGCGTGCTCTAAATAGGATACCCTTTGGTTTACCCACAAGGACAGGTCACACAAAGAAGACTCGTTACTCAACCACGACCTTTGAATAGGCTAATTCGATCTAGAGTTCAAAGATAGCGGAGTTACGAGGAAATTGTTCATACTTTAGCTCTCAATTCCTCAACCGATTTCGTAAACTGGCACACTGAAGCGAAACGATTTGGCCATATCGCCCAAAAATGGCGAATGATCAAATAAGTGAAGTTGAAAACGATAATATCAATGGGTTTGGCTGAAGTAAAGGACGAGAACGCATTTGAACGCCTCCGCAATTCGTAGTGTAGCTAGCATTCATGGCGTGTCAAGTAATGTCCGGTTGACTTCAACAAACCATCATTAGAAAAAATCTATTATTAAGCACTCAGATCTTAATGTTTTTCAAGGGCCTACATCACATTCCTTTCGGTTTTATTCCAATTTTACATGACAGTAAAGAACTTAGTTGCCATAAAATTCAGCATGTGGAAAAAAAGTGTTAAGAAAGTAAAAAGTGAAAAAAAAAAAGAATAAAGAATTTTCGAGCAGCCTCACCAGCTGGAGCGTTAACTCCTCGATTTGAAAGCAACTGACTGGAAATACCCGTGCCGCATAGACATAACGACAATACTTGGCCGAGAGCGATCGAACGAAACGTACGACTAGAAAAGGAAAATCAATAAATCAATATGACTAGGAGAAGTTCTACACAAAACATCGCTTCTGGACGAATTGCCTTCACTTTTTTCCAAGTTTCCAAGTTCATTCGAATTTTGAAACTCGGTCAATAAATACAAAATTGGAGTGAAGGTGTTTTTTCGCAAAAAATAAATAAGATACGAAAAAAATTTCGTTCCTGTTTATTTTCGTTTGAAAAAAATTATCAGGGTAGTTTTACAGAAACTGTATCGACTAAGATCAAAAAAATATAAATAGAAAAGTTATGAGTGAATTGGGGCCACCTGGTCACTAGCCGAACAGATTTCCGCATTAGATTCGATCGACTGATACGTTGTCATGTCTGCTTGATTAGTTATCTTTTGTGCGTGTGTGTTTGTCTGCAGTTCGGTTTCATTGCACTTGCGGCGCAATAAAAGCGCGCAACAATTGCGCTTGATAACAACGTCGTTAATGTACCGTTAAAATTTTTTTGCTCCCCACTCGATCACCGGAAGCATTCAATTTGTTACTGATGCCGAATTCGCGCTGTATCGTCAAAACCACGGAGATTGGTTTTACAACTGCCGATGGACGAGTTGTCCGTGTCTTATTTAAACCAGAGACGAATTTTATGCATTTTAGGAGCCGCAGGCACACAGAACTCTCCAAAATCGATTCGATCTTAGTTCATCGCCTTCGGAATTTGTCCTTCATGTTCCTTTGTTTTAATAATAGTATAATTTTAGTTGTGGCGGTCATCTGAAGTCTAGCCAGTCTACCTAGTCGCAGTGCAATACCTGTGGTCGATTTTACGTCAAGCTTGATATTAGAATACCATTGGTAAGCGCCCCACATTTGCACAGCTGCGACTGGCGTCCACTGACATGCGTCAACCGTCCGTTGTGACAAAAGTCCAACGAGGGAGGTGAGGGGTTGTATTTGGGGGGGGGGGTGGACCACGGGGGGGGTCGTATTTCGCATGAGGATAGGCGTCAATATTACGTGGAACGAATAGTGGATTCTTGTAGGCTGGCTTTTGGGTTGAGTGTGAGTGTAAAATTTTGCCGTTTCACGTTCCATATAGACCCCCCTCGACGGTAATTTTTGGAAGGAAAAGTGGGCGGAGTTGGGCTGTGTCGACTGATCTCAGAATCAAATACTATAGAATCGCCCCCCGGCAGGCGAGGGTGGTGGAGGATGGTCGTGAGGAGTTGGCCCTGGGGGGGGGTCGTATCGAGGCCCTTCCAGAGGGGGAGGGGGTCGTAAAATTTTCGAAATTGGTCCAACGTGACGGTTGACCTTGCCACTGACTCTGACATCTTGCTGCGCGACGGGCCTTCTGTCGGGTACCCAGAGACTCGTGCATGGAATATAGGATTATGCTTAATTTTTCCAGACGGCCCCTCGAATGCCAAAAAAAGAGGCAAATAGTTGGTCCATGGCTCGATTCCCCGTGGCGACAGAATTTTCCATTTTCGACGAGGCTTGCATGATGTTGCAATATGGTACCCGCAGCTAGTAATAGATGTCCTACTACCATCGAAGAAAAAACTGGCAACCCATATTAGTAGGTTGTAACCGAAAACTGCTGTTAAAAAGGGTGTGGCGCTTGCGCTCGAACAACCTTTCCGGGCATTCAGAAGGCCACTCAGGAGTAATGAACCACCGCTTTGTATTCCACGCATGTGTCCCAATACTAGTTTTTACTCGCAAAAGATAGTTTTTAAAAGGTAGGCACGACATAAATGACCTTTCCTGAGTTTTCCAAAAGCTAGGCACGACATAAAGGACTTTCCTGGTGAGGGTTAGCCGGCTCAGATCACCCAGCGCTAGGTTTTGGGTGACTAAACTTTTTGCATTTTGCTGCCTTAATAATTTGTTTGTTCATAAACCCTGCCACTTCAGGAATCTAATTTGGTCTGTCCTTTTCCGATAATTTGCCTAGATTTGGTAATTGTGCCTCGGCAATCGAGACAGCGACCATAGGCTAAGCTTGCACAAAAAGATTGCAGCCAATTTAATGGTAAATTGTAAAGGTCGTTCGTAAATACAATACTCCATTTGAAAAAAAACGAAAAAAGATACTTGTATGGAAACATAAAAACCATAAATGGATCGTTCCACCTACCTCACGTTTTCGTCGTCACAACATGGTGAACAGTTGATACCATCCTCTCAGACTCATCGGAATTTGGTGGTCTAAACAAAGAGTGATAGAAAATAAGCGTCTTCCGGAACAAGCTCATTTATGATCAAATATGAAACTTCATAGATAGAAATTTATCAACAACCACATCATTTCAAGAACTTTGGATTCTACAATGTCGTGCCGCGGTAATTCAGTGGCCGCCCACCTTGATTGCAAAATTTGACGGTGCAAAATTTAGTCGCCGCGGGGAATCGAACCATCAGGGGTATCATTCACCACTTTTTTAATACTACTAAAACCGTTCAGCGAAAACAAAACATGGTTTTGTGGTCCACAACATGCGTTCCTACAATATGCAAGAAACCGTTTCCAGCGCGGCACTGCCCCGAAAAAGCTCCTTGTAAGGCCCTGTCCAATGCGCTGCCGTGCTGCTATCCTAACCAACCCCGGCATAGTAGCGTCTGTGCCCTTTCACGTACGACCTACTCTCTCCTCGCAGCGCTGTGTCTCTCCGTCATACCACGGCACTTTACAAGGATAATCAGCATTTTTCTAGAGCGGTTTTGGCCCCTCTTCCGGCCAAGTGATGCTCCTGACTAAAGTTCCTGTATAATTTCTGAACAAAATAGCGCACACAAATTCGATATCCACCAGCGCCTTTGAAGGCCTCGAAAATGGATATATTCAAAACTCAATTTAAAGGCAAGATTCAGGATTGAAATTATGAGGTAATTCCACTCAAATGTGAAAGTAGGGGTAGGTAGTGGACCGCCAGTGCAGAAAAAAGAAAAAAAATCGTGAAATGCACAGGAAATACGAGCCATTTCTCTACGCTGCGGAGAAGTTCAAAAGGCCGGCAGGGAGATGAGAGATAATGTGAGCGCGGAGAGCGCTAGAGAAGTCGAGTAGAGAGAGCATAGCAGATCAAGTTAGCGACGCAGACAAGATATCGAGCGGTGGGCGGAGCGTGTCGCAACAGGTGGAGCGTGTCAAAGTTCTTAGCGCCTAGCGTCTAAGTAACGCTTTTCGAAGTAGGGAAGTGACGCGACCTCTACACTTGCGTACCTAGCGCTTCTAGCCACCGTAAAGGCTCATTAAGTGGGTCTGAGCCCGAACTTTGCCTTTAACTTAATTCTCAGGAACAAACTGGGAGAGATAGTGCTACATATATTAATGTAAGAACTAAATAAAGCAGTTTTTCCCAAGTGTTGTCTCTTGCCCAAACACTCTGTGGCTATGACAATATTGGTCACGCCCAAGGACGATGCGATGATGTATCGGATATGGACGACATCCTTTGCGACATTGATTTTCGAAATCAATTAATTATTTTATCATATTCTGACACAAAGGTGAAGAGTTCTCTTTGACTGATCATAATCTATGTAATCAATAGTTGAGTCAGATTTAATCCGAGTAAAATAAAACCTTTGCACAGCGAAGGGATTCCGATGAGGTTGTACTCCAGGAGGAAAGGCGGGACCATTGGCTATGCTTGGACCTGGAAAGAAAAGATAAGTGGAGGGAACAGCAGAACTTGGTTTTGTTCTTACCTGCTACTGGTTGTGTTGTCACCATGCTGTGGTAGTAGGGCGGATGGTAGCCCAGCCCTTGGCTCGGAGCAAACAATGGCCGACGTTCTACGTACGGAGACTCGTAATACGAGTACGATTCTGAAAAAGAAAGAAACTGTTGTCGTGTTACTTGAGCCGTAGATTTCTTAGCTATGAGCCATCACTCAACAGTCAAGGACTGGGGCAGTGGTGCTTTCAGGAGAGGGGAGGAATACTTTTATGATTGTCGACTGATTGATGTCTCAGATGTTATAGAGATAGTACTGATGAAGAAGATAGATGAAATGGTAGCTTTTTGGATTAGTATGGACAATTACCTCACTCGCAGAACTCGCCCAGTCCTGAAAAGCCTTCTAACGCCCCAGTGTCATCTACTTGGTACCAAACTTGTCTGGGAAGATAAAAAGACCTGGTCGAGCGACGGATAGAATCGGTAGCACGTTCCAGTGATCTTTCGTGTTCGGCTACTAAAGGCAGCTCATCAGCTTAATACATTCATAAGTTACATAGCCCGATTAGCCAATGAGCAGGGAGAGAACGCGTAATAACTTCGTATAGCATACATTATACGAAGTTATCGGTTAGCATGTTCAGTGATCTTCGTGTTCATTACTCTCACTCTGAAGTTATACAAAGAAGCAGTGCTGAGGATAAAACGCAGTTGAAAAGGAGATGGGGTTGGTAATCGGACCCTGTTTCATACATCCCCCATCTCGCTAGGATACCAGAGTGTTAATATTTCCACAGAAGCACTCATGCTTTGTTCGGAAAATGTGTCGGTAAATACATACATATGCCCTCAGTGAACAGCAGTTGTGAAGCGCAAAAACCGGCATATATCGCGCCACGATTTGTAGTCTTTTCCTCTCAACGATGACCATTTTGGCCCGTGAGGAATAATCTACCGGAGAGAAGTACTGGTCAAAAAGAAGGAGACTGAGAAGAGATGGAACCTGAAGTTTAGGACTACACACGCTTCACCCCATTTCATGCAGCCTAGCTTTCCGAAAACCTTTCGTTCGAAATTTTACAACTTTACATTCAGTGAAGTAATTTATATCCAAGAACTGTATTTACAAAAGTTCAGTGCAATGCAGAAGGGAGATAGTGAAATGGTTTGATGGACTAGCATCATGCTCACTGACCCTGTACAGGGTCACCCTATCGTTGTTACTTTTGAAAATTTTTACGACCCCCCCCCCAAGGTGGATTTGATACGACCCCCTTTTCGACACCTCGACCACCATCATCGTCTCTATAGTACTTAATTCTGATACCACTCAACCCACCAAACTCCGCCCACTTTTTCCTCCAAAAATGCCGTCAGCCGGGAAAGGGAGGTTTGGGCAGCGCTATATAGCTACTCTGAAACAGTAAAATTTCTCTATATCTCCGCCATTTTACTCTACTTCTACCGGCTTTTACCTATATTTACAGATTTTTTTCCTGCGCCCCTCAACTCACCCAACCTACCTACCCATAAAAACTTCAGTTTCACCTCAAACTCGCATGTGATTTCAAGCGACTGAAACGGGTACGACCCCCCCCTCCTACAAACTCAACCAAGTACGACCCCCCCCCGTTGTTACTAGTAACAACGTAGGGTTGACCCTGCGCCGGGATTTATCGGGCATTATTCCGGCGGGCAACCCGGAACAAGTCATCAACTCGTTCACAAGTCAAAACTTTCTGTTTGGAGGAGGAGAAAGAAGTGGGCCACTGAGCTTTTCAAACGCGTTATCTGGGTGGGTATGGTGCGCAACCGCGTTGGTGCTTCGTCCATGAAAAGAGATGGGCTCACCAACGGCGAGCGCTCTATGAATCCCTAGGTATTGGCTACACTTTCAAGATGTATGTAAGACTTGCAAATATACTAGGTTATCAACGAGTACAGCCTTCACTCATTCAGAGTTCACGGATGTCCACGTAAGATCTTTGTTGTGCATGGCGGCATTTGACAACAAAATTACCACTGAGCAGGTTATGAATTGAGAAGAAAAAACCGATCGCATTAAAAAAAAAACTGTGTTGGCGCAACACAAACATTATTAAACGGAAAAAAATGCAAAGAATCAATCAAGTTCAGGTCATCGAAATATATCATTTAAAAGCTGCTAATAACACCCAGTCGACCAATCCCTGCGAAATTCCTCGGTGATCGAAAGGCTGAGGACATGACACGAAAAAAGGTGAAATTTAATGGACATATGGCCAGCTTATGACGATGGGAAAACGTCTTTAGTGAACGCGTAAATACTCCGCAGTGGTCGTCACCCGTTCATTGCTTGGGGCGGCTACGCAACGTTCGATGGCCGGAGAGCGTCAGACAAACGCAATCGGGCTGAACACATGTTTTCTGCCAATGTAAAACACTTCAGCAGTCATCCACGAATAGCCGCCCGTCGCTGACAATCAAAATCATCTTCGGAGTGATGCCGTTCCCGTAACTCAGACATGAAATCGCTCAGAACGCGGGTCAGAAGATCTCTCCGAAGAAAAGACCAACAGTCGGTATAGCTTAACTCACCGGTATCCAAAGCCGAGTGGTTCAGTAAGGCCTTGAAGGATATAGTTAAAAGGCCAGTTTACCCAACAGAGGAGCAGAGACAACGGAAACATAAGAGCTTTTGCTTGAGTCCATAGGACCTAATAATCTCCTATCAGCTAAGCAAGTCTTCTACTCCCTCAAAAAAGGTGAATTATGTATGAGGTTACTATTACTACCGTCACGTGGGGTATTCTTTTCTGGCCTTCAGGAAAACCTTGTATGATAACAAATGAAGCCCCAGCACATGACGCATCTTAAACGTGGCGCATGTTATGCGGGTTATTTAGCGCGAAACATTTCGTCCCTCTATATTTTCAATTATTGGAGCATACTTGCCCTCCTCCCGTAATAGGGTGAAGATTGCAAAGCGCCGCACTACATATTGGTCACTTAGGCCAACCAAGTCTATCTCATCTCCGGGTTTAACCAGGAAAGGCTGATGGGTCGAAGTTCCCATATGCAATGAGACCTACACTGTCGGATGTGTTATTGGACGATGGTCTCGAATCCATTTCTCAATCTGCAAATCGACTTTCAGGACGGAGTAATCAAGCAAAATAGGGCAGCGATAGGGGTCCTAGGATCGACGGGTGATTTGGCTAAAAAATGGTCCTGGATGTATTTTTATCGCCGAAGCAGAATATAGTACCTGGTGGCTGTAAAAAAGTATGCCAAGAGTTCATGGACAGTCGTCGGCAAGGAGCGCCCAAACTTGTTAGGAACTCCTCGCAAGCTCTTTTACGGGTAACTATAGGCAAGCGTTGATCAAGTAAGGTAGTTGGGAGCCTTTTCAACCATTTTGCAGCGAAGGCAAAAAAGAGAACCCGCCAGGGAATCGATCCTACGACGTCTCGCACGTGAACCCGGACTACTACCGCTGCACTATTTTCCTTCATAACTCCATTCGGAAAATCGTTTGGCAGATTTGGAAAGCAGATTCGAGATCAGCGTCCAAAAACATCCAACAGGTGTAGGTCTCATTGCATATGGCCACTTCGACCCTTCATCCTTTCCTGGTAAGCCTACCTAAAAAATCAAATAATTTGCGTTAACTCGGTCGATTTCTAAAGCGGCTGTTAAATTGGCGAGTTATGAATTGGGAGCTTTTGTGATATTGAACGGTAGTAGCATGCATGGCGTTTTTTGTAAAAAGGGGTCACTTCATTCTCTCATACTTAATTACTGCAAGAGTTGTTATCCCTACTAGATATATTATAATTCGCTAAGTATGTCTGTCTGTTTGTACGTCCGTCTGTCTGTCACGAAATTCATTATTGCATGATTTAAATAGCTTACGGATATGAAACTCCTATGCAGTCTCCGAATACATTATATTTTAACCCTTTTTCGCGTGTGCAACTATCCGAGGGTAAGTATTGTTTTCGACTTGGGTGGGTCAATTGACTTCTGGCTCATGAAGTGCGCTTATCGTGACTTGTAATCGCTCATAAAGCATCACATTTTGGGATTTGTAAGCCCCTTTCGAACAGAACCACCGACCGATTGCGCCTCATTTTGCCTACGGAAGCATAGCATTTCGTTGAAATTGCAATAGTTCAGCTTGAAACCAAAAATGTCGCTCAATCGATCGCTGGGGCCAAACGTTATCTCTGCCCATCATTCTCGCTCCAGCATTTTCACATTAACGCTCCTACAACTTGTCCTGAAATTGACTTCTTTAACTTGGCGAAGCCGTTTCGTTAGAGGTTCCCTATGGCGTCTCTTACACAGCAGTCAGTCGATTAAACAAACTAAGAATATAATGACAAAAATACGGCTACGAGTGTCTCCTCCTTGTGCAATAACTTGTGAAGCATACTGTTCTTGAAGAATGATGAATGTGATTTGCGAAGCCAAACACGTATTCCCATTGAAAAACAAACTTTCCTCCTATACGTCCGTTTTCCACCTTAGATATTAAAAGCACACCCCGAAAGCAAAGTGGTTTTTGCAAACGAAGAGAAACATCAGGGTCGTCATAGTGGCATCGCACGGAGAAAAAACGGGAAAGAGCCCCATGAAAACGCTAAAAAAATGGAGGGTTTTTTTTCCTTCTAGGCTGTGCGATAAGGAGGACATTTAGCGCAGAGGACAGAGAATAGTCGAGCGTGCACAATGATAAGAGAGCGCTGACAACTGCATTCTGAGAAAATGGAAGCGCTCGACGCGGTCTGGACACATTGCTGCGCCAACGCCACGTTGACCCCATTGCACCCGACCCATTCACCTGAACTCTTGTTGTAACGATAAGATTCTGCTAAATGCGAGAAGATTTGAACTTCTAATTATCCTGGACGATGGGTGGAGTTTGCGGAATCATCAGCCAGGATCAGAATCAGAAGTTCTTAATCATAAAACATCAATTGAAGGCAGATCCTACGAACCCCTATGAATGAAATGAATTTTCTTCATCTTTTCTTAACCATTACCTCAAGCCAAGGTAACAAAATCGTTAC